TGGCACACTTAGTCATGATTTTTATACAAATTAATAAAAAAAAAAACACTTATTAAGATAGAAATAACGTCGAAATATTTAAATTTGAACAAATTTCTGACAGCTCTTTGACAACTATGACATGACCACTAAGAAAGGGGGAATGGGTGCCATTTTTTTTGGCATGTCATCTCCATAGTATTCAACCTCACTGGGTAAAATCGAACAATTTTGGAGTATTTTTGCAAATAGCATCTGCCTTTTTTATTCAAAAAATGTGAAAAAATTAAATTAGATACTTATATCCTTTATCTTGTCATTCCATAAAAAAATACGTCCTTACATAGTGACCGAATTCACTTCTATGTCTGGGGTGATTTTGGAGACTCATTGTTTGTAGGTTTAAATCGAATTATAGAATGCGCTGATGTGTATTCGGATACAAAAAATAAAAAAAAAATAATATCCTGGAATATCTGTAAATGCAGAAAGTCAATTTTTAGGCATGGGTTATTACAAAAACTATATTTGAGAAACATTCGACATTTTATTCAAAAACAATTAACAAAATTAATTTTCTACCTACTAAATAATAAAAAAAAATAAAAAACATTCTTTAATAACAATATGAAAAAACTGAACAAATCTTTGGGCGTGAATATGAACATTGCATATTTTCTATAAACCAAGAAGTATTTATAAACTAATATCGACCCCTTAAGACTTTTACACATCGAAGAAGAAGGATTAATTGGTGTCTTTCGATTGCACTATAATATGTTGATGAGAATAATAATATTGCATCTAGAGAGAATCGTTCTTCCTTAGGAAATGAACCATGTATGTATCAGGATCAATCACTTCCTTGACACAGGCGACATAGTTTTTTGTTAATTTTTGTTGGTCAATTTTACTATGACAAAAGTGTTTTCTGGGTTCTCAAATGAATCGACATTTTCATTATTTTCGTTTTGGCTGGTACGTGCACTGACAACCTCACATTCTTTTTCGTCGTGATTCTCAATTTCTTCTTAGTCATCGTGATTCTTAGATTCTTCATATGTTGTTTTGTGATCAATATTTGAGATGTCTAACTAAGATGGCGAAGCAGAGTTCTGTATATTTAAATATTAAACCGTGAATGATCTTTAAGATAAATGATTCTTGTTTCTATTCGAACCTAAACCTCCCAGAGATTGCCATAGGCTAAAAAGGGTTAACATGTTATGATAGATGGAAGGAAATTTGAAATGGATTTAGATAAAATGCTTTAACTATTAAAAGAATAATTTCATAGAGACTAAATTAATATGAAAAGGAAAAATCTAATTTAATATATTTAAATATAGTAAAGCGTAATATCTTCTCCAAAAAATAATATATAATTTAAATATAAGCTAGCATGTGTCATTTAATGCAGATGTAGTGGTTATGTATAAAATTTGACAATTTGTTCGAGAAATCATTGATCAAAATATATATTTAATAACATGTTATTAACAAAACATGCCTTATAAAATCAGACGGTCATTAGCATAAATAAATATGAATTAATATTTCGGATGACCGAAATAAAATCAAAATATAAGTGACCTATTCATCGTTGTCTCTCAGATCAAATAAAAATGTCACTTCCTTTGACACAAAGCATAGACGACAAATGAAATTTGAGTAAGAGGTGACTGTATCCGAAATAACGAAATAACGGTTCCCCGTTACACATTTTATAGCTTTCCCCGGAGCAACATTGAGTTTCCTGCCCCTTCTACGTCTGGGCTCTTCAGCAAATCGCTTATCATTGAGTAAGCCGACAAACGTTTGGGAACATTCACCAGCAACTTTAGCCTCATCTCTTGATAATGGAATTCTTCTTAATACAACCTGTATATCCAGTGGGAAAATCCCAGATGCTCGAAATCCCGACTTGATGGTCTGCTGCATTATTGAGGCCATCTAAAGTTTTTTTTTTTAAATAGTGGGTAACTCTGATTTTGGAATAACATTTTTTGGTTTTTGCATGAACGTAGAAAAAATATTGTATGCAACTTGTGCAAAAAGTGCTTATTGCACTCGACAATTTCACTTCGCGTGCAATAAACACTTACTTTTTGCACTTGTTGCATAAATAACTATTGAAGGGTTTTAGTTCTTTTCTTGTTGATATGTCAATAAATAATTTTTCTACTGTTTTACTCAATAGTGTCAGTGTATTATACATATTTGTAAATGTAATTTTTTACTGAATATAGTGGTGTAAAAATCAAATATGGCGGCCATAAAAAAACAAAAGTTGTATATCGTATCTTTTAAAATAAACGACACACAAGGTTAAACCTTGGTTTTTCTAATAGGTTTTTCTTTGACACATACGAATAAAAAAGTATTAAATATATTTTGCAGGTATTAAATTATGTTATATAGTATCATAGGAAATAAAAGCAGAAATAATTCTGTTTCAATGCGAAGATCAATACAACAAAAGTACGAATAACATTTCAATAAAATAATCATTTTGTTGTATACTTTGGAAAGCATGAGAGCACTGCAACAACTTCGATTCAATACCTTAATTATTTTAAAAGGTTTGGAGAGATAGATTGTATTTTGTTAAGAGCTATATTTCGTCTGCCCATTCAAGCTTTAAAAGCTTATTTAAGTAAAATGGTATGTATAACGGGCGTAAATTTACAGCCTAATATACAATAAATTTTAAATATCAGTAACTAATCCTGAAGGAGTAACACACTCCTATTTTTTGGCAATTTTAATAAATACGACAATTTAATATTTAATTTTTTAACTAGCAATGTATTGATTAATTTAAGTTGTTTCTAAAATAACGAATAAATAATATTAATATAATAGTTTATTTCCCAAAGTATATAACTAACATATTATTTTTTAAATTTTTTGGCTACTTTTTTACTTTTTCTTCTATTTCAAATGAAGATGGAAAGTAAATACCTCCACTAAAGTCTTATGACAATATTTGTTTTGTTCCTAAAAAATGTATTATTACAATATAATAGATCAGATTCCTAAAAGATTTTACAGTTTACCATAAAAAAACATACGAATTTATTGAGTTACCCGATACTACAAACGAATCAAATTTATTAAAATAATATTGTATTATAGAAATGAGAAAAGCAACAAACTAAGTGAGTTCTTTGTAAATAAATGTATTACGATTTTTCTACAAATAAAGTCAAGGAAAACGAGAAATAAATTTCCATTACAAGTTTACATAAACATCATCCTAGAAGTCATTTATGTTTCAATTTAGAATTTTGCCTGCATCAGAGCATCAGCCTTTTCGCGTACACAAAATCCAAATGAAGCTTTCAGGGCAAACAAGAAGCAAAACAAAATTAACCTAAATATCTAATTAAAGTTAATCAGATAACACAGAATACCTATTAGGTATTTTCAGATGCTTATATTCGTTTCACTTTGCTTTTTATTATTGTTTATTTTATTTTCGAAATTAAAAGGGCACGTAGAATTAAATGACATTGGTACATGTACATGGGAAAAAGTACACTGAAGTTTTACATTTCTCTTCATTAAATTGTTGGGTAGGTTGTTCTTAAAATAATTCGCATCTAGAGTCCTTTATGTAACTTTTGAAAGGCTATAGATATATTATTGAAATTTTAAGTACTTTATCTTCTTAGTCGCGGAACATAAACCGTTAAGGCGGGTACAGATCTGAGCACGTACGCGTATGAGGCAAGCCGAGGACGCTTGAGCATGCAGATATGGACGAGCTCCCGAGGCGCGGCAAATTGCACCGTGTGGCCTCGCCCCGATCCGTTTGTTGGCGGTACATAAAAGGGGGTGAATGCGCAGTCTGGACGGGGAATTTGTACCGAATAGATTATAGCGAGTTTTCAAGGTTTATTTTGCATGAAGTGAAATCAGAAAAAGGTTTTGCTTCTCCTGAATATATATAATCAGCAAAATATTTTATGAAGAGCAAGACAAAATAATGAAACAGGCACTCAACTACCAGACCTTCATTTTGTTTTAATTATACGAGAGTTCTGAGTGTACGGTTCCGTGCTCGCGAATTCACTGGATCAATAGCGAACAGTGCCCGTGCGTCTACCATTCGTGTGTACAAAATGCGTCTCACGAGGCACTCGGTTCGGCCTAGACTTGCCTCATACGCGTACGTACTCAGATCTGCACCCGCCTTTAAATAAAAGGGACAAAAATATGAGAGAAGTTTGATCCTGAAGTCACCGACAATAGTCTTATAGACCAGCGGTTCTCAAAGTATGCGCCGAGGCGCCCTGGTGCACCGTAGGGTAAGCGAACTGAAAAAAAGTTTGGGAACCGCTGTTCTAGACTAACATAACAGCAATAAATGTCTGGTCATAGAGTATGCTAAATAGCTCTTTTGGTGAGTCTTAACTGTCGCTATAAATACTCAAAATGTAAAGGCGGGTACAGATCTGAGCACGTACGCGAATGAGGCAAGTCGAGGCCGAACCGAATGCCTCGTGCGACACATTTTGTATACACGAGTGGTGGACGCACGAGGCGCTGTTCGTCACTGATCCAGTAAATTCGCGAGGACGATTTTTGGTGCACTGACGATGCTTGTTGGCGATGCATCAAATTTCCTCTTATTGGGCTCAGTTATATTATTAGTGGTATTTTTTATGGAAGTTTCTTGCTCTTGATTATGTAGAGATGTTCCCATTAGGTCTTGATAAGTAAAACTTTTGAATGAACCATCATTTAAATATAAAACATTTTTTTTTATTTTCGCTTGTGGATGAATGGTTTTGGCCTCTTTTAATTGACCATGTAAAAATTTTCTTTTATTATAGTCTTCTTTGGCGTAATCATTTGAAAAAAGTACTTTTATTTTTCTTAAATCCTCGTTCATCAAGCGAACAGCATTGAGTATTTGAGTTTTAAGTTCATAATTTACCACTTCAACAAGAATGGGACGTACTTTTCCTTCAACTTGTCTATCAAATCTAAGCACATCACGGAATTGCTGTTTATTACATGTAATGTAAGTAGTCTCCTATAACTTTTAAGAGTTCATCAGTTGTATCAGTTTCAATACCTTGTACTCCATAGACAATTAAATTAAATTTTTTCAATTTTCTTTCGCTCTCTACAATTCGTTGTTTACATTCAGTATTTTCCTTTCTTAAATCTTTAATATCGTCTACTAAATGTGATATTTTACCCTCAATAGAAGTTTTTAAACTATTTATTTCGGTTTTTAAATCAGCATGACCACTCTGAATAAGATTAAATAGATATTGCAAGCTTGGCATCGTCGACATCGCCTTGTAGAACGTATATTTAAGAAACACCTTCTACTGTGGGCCGATGTAAACTAGACAAAAATTTTACTTGAAGATTCGCTCAGATTTCAAGGTAAACTACCTAAACGATTTGCTTCTTACTTTGTCAGTACTTGTCGATAAATAAATAGCATGCAAAATTAGACTTTATTGCTTACAGTTTAGTATGGGATCTCTGATTAACTTCTTTAAATGCAGATTTCAAAGAATGTACCTCACTTCACTTAAACGTCTTTAGAACACTGTTCAGAAAACTAACTTTTTCATATATTTATTTAATTTTAATTGTTATATATGAAATATTTTCAATTCTTTTGATAAAATTTAAGCAGGCATTGTAAATACGCCGGCTGACATAATATTAAGATGTGATTTAACTGTGACTTTTTCATGGTAATTTATCATCCAACCTCTCTAGTATACTCCCACAGATAAGTGCCTACGTGGACATGAGTATAAGTTGAGCAAAGAAAATTTTTAAACACGTAATTCAAATGGATACATAGATAGAGGTACCACCCTCTATGCTGCCCCGGGAATTTTGCTCCATAAAGAGAAATAACTTCTTTTATTTCTACAAACAAGTTAAAAATAAAAATAAAATTCCTTTATCTACTTAGAAACATAATGTTTTAAAGTAATAACACACAGTAGCGAAAAGGAAACCTTACGGCAATATCGCGAAGTAAACAAAAGTTGCTGCATCACGAAAACAAAATATATATCAGACTGTTCATAATATTTATTTATATTTTTCAGTATAAAATGTATACGCGTCTAATTTATTTTTGAGATGTATAATTTTCAATGAAAACATAAATAAAATATTTCTGAGAAGACACGAAACTGCTTATTTCAAAAGGCATCAATAATTATTTTAATTCTAGTTATTGGCAAGGTATATTAGTAATTTTAAGCTACTGTTACAGCATTGTAGCTTCCCACACTATTACATATTTTTGAAGAATATAAGTCATAATATATATTTTGAAGCTTTATTAATTATTAAACTTTCTTAATAACGTATTGTTCTTACAACTATCTGAAGTCTAACAAATCAATATTTAGTGTAACATTGAGAGCCGTTATTAAAGTTAATATTTGATAATTTTAGGTGAATTTGTAGGATTAAATTTGTATGATAAAGCTTTTCCCAATTAGCGAGAGCAAAATTTACCAAACGAGGTAAAACTGAGGATAAATTGAGGGTCCCAAATGACGGTACTGAAGTAATATTTTTAATGCAGAAAGATTAAGAAAAGTTTAATCCAATTATTAACATATAATCCTCCTTGTTATTTATTAGTTAATTTTAATTCGTTCAATGTTAAAGTGCAACAATTTTGTCAGAAACATAAAGTTTTTTTTTTGTATTTTATATAAGTTTTTTAATTCAAAATTTAATCTACGAAGTGCCTATTTACCATTTTATATACCGTGTCTTTATTTATATGTATTATAGAAACCTAAATGTGACGTTATATCCCCACTTTTACTGTACACCTTTTTTATTCAAACTATAGTTGGATCACCGATAAATTTGAAGGATAATATTCTTATTGACATGATCCTAAGTTTATAACAGAAAGCGCCAATCCCTACATTGGTAAACATATTTTACAACTCGTTAAAATACAATATGATAGATATATCAAGCTAATTGGGACCCAATAGTTAAAATATTTGATAACGTTAGATAAGTAAACTTGTCCAGTTAAATAAAATCAATCATACTTTCTTCTTTGCTGCAAGAACCCTCCTTTATGTTTTTAAACTTTCAGGCATATATGTCTAAGAGTTTATTGTCTTGTAATTAGGTACAATCATAATTAAAAGTACCTAATCGTTTTTTAGTAGGAAAAATAAAAAATGGTGTATTCATTAAGCGCATTCACCAAAATTCTAATTTTTACCAGATGACAGTAAAAATGTTAGTTGTTCATTCTTAATGTAACTCCTAAATAATATCACTAAAATAATAACTGTTCTCACAACTATTTTTTTGTATAGTTGATATATATATATATATATATATATATATATATATATATATATATATATATAGTTGATAATAAACATTAAAAAAATGGAATACAATTTACTTACCTAATAATTGTTTCTTAGTGAAAATTATACATGGAACATTGCAAATGAACCCATCCGCCAAAATTTTAATTGTATAAACCCTCTAACAAAAGTCAAGCTCTATAATAAGGGGACAAAGCTTATTTATTTAAAAAAAATTGTGAACAGAAAAGGGGTTAAGGGAGTTGAAATAAAAATATAGAAATCAAACAAAAAAAGGAATATGACCATTAAAAATATTGATTTTGAAAAAATCTAAATGAAAATAAGGGGATAAAAGGGGTTCAAAAATTGAGAAATAAACCTAACTCGGAAATCTTCAGGAAAATCAAGCTTTATAAGGGGATGAAGACTATTGCTTCTGTAAAAAATCCTATTGAAAATGTGGGTTAGGGCGGGGGGTTGTCGAAGCGTTTTTAATGAATAAACATTTCAAAATAAAAAATCAAATAGTATTTAAAAAATAAACTTGAATATTGTGTAGTATTTTACAGTTTCATGAATAAACAATAAAGTAAAAACAATTTTCTCGTTCTATCGTAATGTTACTATAACGGACATCTGAGAATTTGATACTAAGATACCTACATTATTGAATAAGCAACCACATTTGAGACAATTTATAATCTTTAATTCTCCTATTTGTTAATTATTATTTTTTTTTTTTTTATTTTATCTTAGAGAATATAAAAACAATCAAATAGCTAGAGAACTTTTCTAATAATAATATGCCAGACGACCTGACAACATATTTTGAGTTTTTAAAATATTTTCAACAACAAATATCTTATTTTTTTATAACTAAGCACTTTTTTATATTAACGGCATTGCGTTAAAGAGATATTGATTAGCCAATTTCTTCACGAAGAAAATTAATAGTTACTGTTCACATTTATCTTGTTCGGATATTTTTTGTCTAATTCGAATCCAATTTCTTTGACATAGTAATCTAGAGAAAGTAGAACAAAATGACAAAGCATCCATTCTGTCTCAAAAGAGTCAACAAATATATCAATAAATAACAATCTGAATCCAATACCGCCTTCTCAAAAACTTCTTAACGTCCCATTTGCAGAACTTCAAAACACTCATCTCTTTTTATATTATTCGATTCGAAACTTTTTTGACTCGTTCTCTATTAAAATGATCTTGGTAACTAATGACTCGAAGTTAAAGCAGAGGTTTATTGCGGTTCCAGTGGCGTCAATTTTTTATACTTAAGAATTTAAATATGTTTTTATTAAAATTACAAGGATTTAAAACGACTATTATAAAATTGGAGGCTTCAAAAGCCAATCAGTGTAAGACAGTTAAACAAAAATGAAACTTTAATGTAACACTAATAAATACAAATAATTATAAGAGCTTTTTAAGAAATTTTTATTGAAAAGTGATAACAGACAATTTTCTTGAAGATATAAAAAAATATTTAACACAAAAACTGTGACAAGTAATTTTCAGCAAAACTATGACTTGCACTGATTAGCTTCTGAATCCTCCAAATTATAATAATTGTATAACATCCTGATTTAAACAAATTGATATTTTCATTACTATAAAACCATAATATTGTTCTTTTTTCTTCGGAGAATTAACTACTTTTTGTATTCCTTTTATAATGTCGCCGAATAATAAAGAATGAAAAATAAGCTTTAAGAAACTCAATTCTTATTTACTTTATGTACAGTTTCAATTATTTTATAAAAAACCAACTTTGTTTGTTTCTTATTTTGTGGAAGCCATTTAGCCATTGTTTGTGAGCACACAAGGGCAAGTTTTTGGCTTCTATTTGATACTAATTTCATTTAAACAGTCGGTTTCAGCAGATAACTGCGCAATTAAGAGTGCGTCTTGGACTAAAACATATTTGAGATCATATGGGATTATGCAGCCACATGTTTTTACCTATAGGCTATAGCTAATGTTCTTCTTTCGCTTGTAGTATGTTTCTTAGCTATAAAATACTGCTTCAATAGCTCCTATGATCTAGTGGTTATGACATTAGTACAGTATTAAAGGTTAGTAGGTACGGTACATATTAAAGGCATTTTTGCTTTGTTTGCTTTCTTTCTCCTTATTGTTTAAAAAACTATTCTTTATTTTGCTTGTTCAATTTATTATTTTAGTTAACTAACTTAGAGTATCATAAAAAGTAACCTTTTCCTCATATGCGATGAAGCATATTATAATTTTTAAAAAGTACCAATTGAAAATCACAAAAAGGACCTTAGTGATATTTTTCATTTTTTTTTTGATATGTAACTCATATTTTATTTTATTAATAATACATTTATGATACCCAACGACAACATTATGATAAAATAACTAAAAATTGTTAATGGGAGTGTTTAGTGTAAACGAATTTAATGAATTTAATGCTATTAACTGTCTAAGCAAAAAAAAACTTTTTTTATGCAATTAATACTTTAGATAATAAAATATATTGAAAATTTTCATGGAATTTCAACCAAATATTTTGAATATGTTCCGGTAACGGATCATCACAACTTAGTTTTTCTAACCATAACTGTTGCAGCATAGTTTTCGCTATTATAGCGCATTTACTGAGAAGTCCCAACGGGTCAAAAATTGTAGCAATTCTTGACAGAATTAGTAGTGTTGTAATATTTGATTGTTTGAGAGGTACAATTTTATATAGCAGAATATCTCTGTGATTGCACGCTCAATGCCCTTGAATTTTACTAGTAATTTTGTCATTGGCATGAAATTCTAAAATATCTGATGGGACATGGAAGAACTTGCGGACAGTTTGACTTCCATTTCCGTAAATCAAACTCTGCGCTACTTTATATGCTGGCAATTTTTGAGCATTTTCGTGTAGCCTCTTC